TAGGGGAAGTATGTAAGCGTAGTAGTTCCTCTTTTTTGAATTCTGGCCTTTAGTAAATGTGTCTCAAATGTCTTCTGTATTGACTCCCTCAAGTGCCCAGCCCTGTCTTAACTGCCTATATCTAACTTAGCTGTCTACAATATGGGGAGATCTGTGACAGGCACAGGACATCTGGCACATATTTTTTTAAGTTAGCAGACTCCATGTTGGGCTTCAGGCTCCATTTTAAGGCCTCCATCTTAAAGTACAGAGAGGATCTTGGGGGCTGAGGAATTCACTCTCCTCCACCCAGTTGAGATCAAGCAATACCCTAAGCCCATCCCTCCCTAATCACTTCCCTCCACCCACTTGAGCTCAGACTTTTCCTTAGGAGTACACTGTATTCTGTAAAATCCCAGACCAAAGTATATACATGGTCTCTCTCTTTTTTCTTATCTTGCTCTTGAGCCCTGATTTATCTGCACCATGTGCAGTGCACCTTTGTGTCAACCCAGCACCATTTCTCTGTGACCTTCTATAAACTTAGCTGTATGTCCTTCACCATCAAGTGTACACTTTGGAGTTCTTTGCTTGCCACACATAAGAGTTTGGAATCTGTTGGCTCCACCTCATGGTAACACATACTGTCTAATAGAATCCTAATTCTTGTCTCACTAACTCCTTTCTCAAACTATATAGTTACATTGTAAATTTTTATGGGTAATTTCTACACACAAAAATCTTTTTTGAAAAATAGCTTTTATTGATGCTGTAAAAAAGAAAAAGAAGGCTATTGTAGCTTTTCATGATAGTCCACACTGTTTCCCAGACACCCACGGATCCAGGGCTAGATTAATCCATTCCATTCATGATCCAATCACCACCTAAAGCCTATCTTTTCAAATAAAATTAGCATGACTGAAGATTAAGTTTCCAACACAAAATTTCATGGACACATTCAAATTATAGCAGGGATAACAGAAAAAAAAAGTTACAGATGTAAGGGAAGAAGAGTTTCTAAATTTGACTAAAAAACTAAAATCACATTGTCATTTCTAGATTTAAAAAAATGTCCTGTTGCCTCAAATCTCATTCAGCATAAATCTCAAAATCTCATCTTAATCTGCAATATGCCTTCCCTGTCACTGACCCCATTTTTCCCAGTTCTTTAATCTTTTAGTTAGAGCCCCTCCTATCTCCCTTCATTTCCTGTTACAGGACAAGATATAGCTGTGCCTCTAAGCTTTTCCTCTGGCTGAAAAATTCTGTCGACATACCTTTTTCTTGAGTTGGGTGTGGTGGTGCACACCTATAATCCCAGTACTCTGGAAGCTGAGGCAGGAGGATCACCTTGAGGTCAAGGCCAGCCTGAACTACACTGTAAGACCCCGTCTCTAAAAAAAAAGAAAAATATATATATATATCCTTCTTTTCTCCTTTCTTTCTTCCTTTGCTGGGACTATCTCAAAAACAGCAATTCCAGCTGGGTGTGGTGGTACACACCTGTAAATCTTACCACTTAGCAGGCTGAAGCAGGAGGATTGCTGCAAATTTGAGGCTAGCCTGGGTTACATAATGAGTTCAAGGCCAGTCTGAACTATAAAAGCCAGACCCTGCCCCCCCCACAAGTAGCAATTCCTACTCTGAGTCCAGTTAATTGGGTACCTCTGCTCATCTCCCAAATTAACACTCAGCTTTCTAGTTTTTCCAAAAATATACTAAATTGATATAAATAATCAATCTGTCCCCATTTCTGACCCTCAATCTATTTCTTTTTTCTTTTCTTTTTTTTTGAGGCAGGGTCTCACTATGTAGTCCAGGCTGGACTCAAACATGCAGTGATGCTCCTGCCCCAGCCTCCCAAGTGCTGGGATTACAGGCAATGTACCAGCATGCTGGACCTCAATTTATTTCTTATTTTGTTCCTTGGATGAATAAATGATCCAAGAATTCAGTCATTTAAACATATAATAATATGAGTTTTAATCTAATCACTAGAATTTGAAAAGCAGAGACGGTCTGAAGGAGTCCTTAGAGCATTTTCCAGTGGGACTTCCTGAAAGCAGAGACATCTCCAAAAAGATAGATGGAGAATCAACTATGAGGATGGTTCATCCCAATCCATAATCTTTAGATATATTGTGACTAATCTGTTCTTCATGGTACCTAGTACCAAAAAAAAAAAAGATTAAATTTGCAAGGCAACATAAAAATTTCACTTACCAGAAAAAGTATGCCTCCTGTTGCAGTTTTTTTTCTTTCAGATCATCTGATGTTATGATAACTAAATTAGTTGGTAAGAATACACTAGATGAGGTCTGATTTGGGGACTTTTAAGTTTGAGAAAAAAGAATTAAGATGAAGGAGCAACTTGGGCTTTTTTCTAGATAATTGACACTGTCCGTCAATTTTACCACTTCCCAAAATCATGGTTTCCAGTACCTTGTATCTCAAGCGAAGAGCTGGCTTTGTACCTGAGCCAGACCCTGACCCTACTTGACATGTCTGGAATCCTTCCACTGGGAATCTGCTTCTGGAAAGAAGGAGTGAAGTTCAGTCTTGGAGAATAGATGAACCTGTCTGCTGCCAGAGGGGCAGCCTAGTGAAGGGTTTTGGTGGTTGATCTTTCTCCCAATCACTGGGCCCTGGGAAGAGTGAGGAGATCAGATGGGAAACCTCCCCTTAATCTATTGTTCAAGCTCCTGGGATTCTTATGCCATACACCTTGGTGAATTGCAAATGACAGAAGGAGCTGGTTGATTTCCTAGTTTCAACACTCTGGCCTCACTATCTTCCTTAAAAATCTTTGCTGAATCTGTCTTTAACTTTTTAAAATAAAATTTTATTCATTCTTTACATGTTTTTTTCTGTTTAAACTATTTATTATACTTTTAATTGAGGATGTAAAAATTGTATATATTCATAGGGCACCATTTGCTGTTGTGATACATGTACACATTGCCTAAAGATCAAATTATAGTAAGAATATTTATCTTTTTAAGCATTTATCATTTCTTGGTGGTGAAACATTAAAAATCTTTTCTACTAGTTTTTTGGAAATATATGGTACATTATTGTTATCTATAGTCCCTCCACTGTGCAATATATGCCAAAAGTTATTTCTCCTAACTAGTAAAACTTAGTACCTATTGACCAATCTTTCCTCACCCTCCTTCTGTTTATTATTTTATGTTTACTTGGCTGAGTCTGTTTCTAAATCCATCCACGTGCATCTCATTTTTCTCAACAAGTGTTCTTGAATGGCTACTAAGTTCTAGGTATGTGACATATGTTAGTGAATGACACAGGCAAAAGTTACTCTCTTCAAGGGATTTAAACATCAGCCGATGCCAGCCACGGTGGCACACTCCTATAAACTCAGCATTTGGGAAGCTGAGGTAGGAGGATCTTCAGTTCATGAACAGCCAGTCTGGGCTACATGGCAAGGCCAGCCTGAACTCCATGGTGAGACTGTCTCAAAATAAACAAACAGAAAACTTCATCCAAAGAGGCAAGCAATAAGTGTATCAAACTAGCAAGTACCTGCTCTATGAGAAAAGGACAGGAACTGTAGAAAAATGCCCCCAACCCCAATAGATACAGCAGGGCAAGGGGCACTGGGGATTCAAGGTAGGAGAAATTAGCCATTTTACATAGCATGGTCAGGAAAGGTGGGCTTCACTGAGAAGCAGCTTTGCACAAGATTTGGAAAATTTGAAGGAAAAGATGAGATGTCTGGATAAAGAATGTTTCAGAAATAAGAGACTTGTGCAGTGGTCCTTGCAAGGGTGGGAAAATGTCAGTGCGGTTGGAACAAATAGGGCAAAGTTTAACAAAGTAAAGAAAGAAAAGGGCAAAGTAAGGGTTCAGGAGATCTGTGGTCTGTAGATTGGGCCTGGAAGATCTTGCCTGTGCTGGGCATGGTGGTGCGTGCCTATCATTCCAGCACTGGGCAGTCTGAGGCAGAGGGATCGCTGTGAGTTTGAGGGCAGCCTGGACTACATAGTGAGACCCTGTCTCAAAAAAGAAAAGAAAAGAAAAGAAAGAGATCCCTACCTGTAATTCCTGCTATTTTGTAAACCTCTCATTTCACTTCACCCTGCTGTTCTATAGGAAATACCCTTGGCTACTTGAAATGCTCTCAGTGAGGCTTTCTCCAGCAGCCAGATGAAATTAAAGACCCTCTGTGATACATTTATACCATCTTGGGCTTCATTTGTCATGTTTACCAAGTAAAGATGCATATATATGGCCTCAGCCTCCCTTAGCAAGGGCATTTGCATTGGACTACGTCCCCAGCCCTTTCCTCCCTTTTAAAATTTTGAGATAGAGTCTCTCTAAATTGCCCAGGCTGGGCTCAAATTAGCAATCCTCCTACCTCAGCCTCCCAGAGTGCTGAGATTAGTACTTTGAAAGTTGTATCAGGTGCTGGCAATTTAGAATTTTAATTTGTAAACTGGAATTTAATTTTTTGTTTTTATTTTTTTGAGGCAGGGTCTCCCTTTGTAGTTCAGGCTGGCCATGGAACTCACTATGTAGCCCAGGATAGGCTGGAGATTTAGCTCAGTGGTTCCAGCGCCTGCCACGAAAGCACAAGGTCCCGAGTTCGATCCCTGGTACAAAAAAACCCCCCAAACAAACCAAACTATGTAGCCTAGGCTGGCCTCAAACTCGTGGCAATTCTCCTGTCTCTGCCTACTGAGTGCTCGGATTATAGGCATACACCACCATGCCTGGCTAAACTGGAATTTAATTTTAATTTGGTGACTTGGTGTCACTGGAATAAGTGGAAATACAAATATTTCTTGCCTTTCAAGAAGGCTCCTGAAGCCTCCCCGCCCCTCTGGGTTTATACTGCAAGGGAAACAAGAAGAGGGAGGGAAGGCTTGAGATTAAATCAAGAAGGTTCTAAAGGAGGGGCTGGTGAAGGGGGAAGGGTAGTTGAAGGGAAGGGAACACCAGGATGTAATCTTCCACCCTGTTAATGGATCAAGAAAAGTGTGAGCTGCTACTTCGAGAAACCTGCAGACCTACACTGAGCAACCAGAAATCCACTAGTGCTGCAGACCATCCAGACAAGGTAGGAGTGAGGCCTCCCTGCACAAGGGCAGGCAGGGGATTTCAGTTTACCCATATAAACCTGAGAGAAGATCGTTGGACTCTGAAGAGCAAAGAAAGGAGGAAGAACTCCCACCACTATGGGAGACAAAGCTGGAGGCAGCTCCTTTTCTGGCCCTGAGGCCAAAGCTCATTCTTACCTTTGAGTAGAAACTTGCCGGAAAGGTTTTGGTATCACTCTGGACAACAGCTAAAAATCCTATCAGAAGGAACTGCTTTAGGCACATGACTTGAGCCAATTTAGATGTTATAGATTAGATAACAATGGGTTTTAAACAATTAGGCTCTTCTGACCTGCCCTCAGAAAGAATTTGGGAGAGGAAACTGCAAGATATAAGACCACTGGAGGCCGGGCTGTTGAGCTTTGGACTGATTTTTCCGGGAGCTAGAAGCACAAACGCTACAGCTGTGATATCCCTTGTGGCCCCGAGTAGGAACTACTGAGCATACTGAGCGGCTCTGAAACATCTGGAGACTTAATTTAAGGAACTGGTGAGCTAAAAAATTTGGTATTCTTCATTTTTCTTCTTTACAACCAGGATTGACAAACTTAGGCATTGCAGGCCCCTTACTTAGTCTCTGTTGCTACCATTGTACTCAGTCATACCAGAAGGAAACAGTGATGGACAACAGTACTTACAAATAATCATGGCTGTGGTCCAACGAAACTTATTGTGGATGCTGAAATCTTGAATTTTATATAATTGTCACGTGTCACAAAATACTCCTGTGGTATTTTTATTTCCTCAAGTTTAAAAATGTAGAAGTTATTGCTTCTCAGCCTTTTGGCTAAGATTAAGTGTAAAAATGTAGAAGTAAAAAAACAGAGAAACAAAAACAAAAAAGAAACAATTGGCTGGGTTTGGTGGTAAATGCCTATAATCCTAACTATTCAGGAAGCTAAAACAGGAAGATTGCAAATGCAAGTCTAATCTGGGTAATTTAACAAGAATCTGTCTCAAATTTTTTTAAAAGGGCTGGGAATGTAGAAATAAATTTAGTATAGTTCAGTGGTGCTGGTTGCTTGTCTGGCAAGCTCAGGTTCTGAGCTCAATTCTTGGTACTGGAAAAAAAAAGTGGGCTATAACACAAAAAGAAACAAGAGATTTTCACTGATTCTAAGTTGCCATCAAGTGTATGTTATTTTTGGTGGTCCTATAAAATACAAACAATATATATGGTACAAATTATGAAAATGTTTATATTGGTACTAAGTATCCCAATGATACATAGATGAGATGCAGCTTAATTTCAAAGATGTTAAAATGAAAATATAAGCATGTTCCTTAGAGTCAATGAAATATATTAATGGCATAGATGGTATTAGAATACCCTTGATAGTGAAGTGAGGATATTATTTTACAAAACTTTTGTTTTAATTTGTACATATACACAGACTTTTTTTTCTCCAGGGCAGGATAGTGTTAAATCATTTGGATCTGGATTCATTAAATGTTTAGAAAACCTAGAATTAATAGAGTAGAGTCTGTTGTACATGTAAGTCATCCTGTTAATATTAGCTACTATTTATTTAACAAAGATATAGCATCTACACTATAGCAGATACTGCTCTGGAAGCAGTAGTAAACAAAACACATTGCCTGCCCTCATGTAGTGTTCTTATGGCTTATGTTTAGATGTTCCCCCTAAAGCCTCATGTGAATGAAGTAGGACTACTTTGGGAGTTGCTGAATCTAGAGTGTGCCATTGATTCATGGGAGGGCGGCTAGTCTTGAGGGTACTAGGATTAAGGCTGTGAGTGCTACCCATCCTAAGTAGCCTAAATAAGATAAAAAGCCTCATTCCAAATGAAGTAGGGCTACTTTGGGGGTGGCTGAATCTAGAGTGTGCCATTGAGTCATGGGGCAGGGGAGGCCTAGGCTTGAGGGCACTAGGACTAAGGATGTGAGTGATACCCACACTACGTAGTCTGAATAAGATAAAAGGGGCAGAAAGATGCTCTTAGGCCCCTTGTTGCTTTTGCTATTTTGTGGGTGCCATGAACTGTTTCTCCTCTGATGCCCCTCTGCTGTGTGCCACCCTGCCTTGGAGCCAGGCAATAATGGACTGAAACCTCTACAAACTGTGAGCTAAATAAACCTTTCCCTTTTAACTTTGGGTGTCAGGTATTTTTGTCTCAGCAACAAGAGAAAAGTAACTAATACAAGTGTACAGTCTAGAGAGACAGAAAAGCAGTAGGCTCTATTTTATATGTTGCATGGTAGGCAGTAATAAATGCTAAGTTTAAGAAGAAGCATCATGGGGAAAATAGGGAAGCTTGTGAGTTTAGATAGTGTGGTCAGGAAAGACTTGGTGAAAAGGAAACTGGGACCTGAGGCAGGCTGGAAGCCTGACTGGGGATAATATGGACAGAGAACATCCAAGGCAGGGGGAGCAAGGGCCTGGTGTATTTCATACTCACTGAGACAGTGGCAACAATGGAGTGAGTGAGAAGCAGAAAAGATGAGGACCACAACAGACAAACTACATGGTCCTGGGCTCTATTGGACATTTTCAAATGACTGGGATTTCCTATGAATGAGATGGAAAGTCACGGGTGATTTATAGGCAAAAGAGCAAATGTCAGCTCCTTTATGTGTTTGTGTGTACATATATATGTAATATACATTGTCTTTTTTTTCTATATATATATTTAGTACCTTTGTTTTTTAGGTTTTATTAAAAAATTTTAATTGACAAATAATACAGATTGAGGATCTCTATCAAAATGCTTGGAACCAGAAATATTTTGGAGTTTGGGGTGATATTTTTGTGGAATATGTGCATATACTAATAAGATATCTTAGATGGAATGCACATCTAAACATGAAATTCACTTATATTTAACATATATCTTATATAAATATCCCAAAGGCAAATTTTTATATAGTATTTTCAGTGCACCTGCATTCTGATCTTTCATGTGAAGCCAGTTATGGAATTTTCCACTTGTGGCATCATATCAGTGCTTAAGTTTCTGATTTTAGAGCATTTTAGATTTTGGACTTTGGGATTAACAATGCTCAGTTTGATTTATGGTGTAAAGAGCAATATTTTGAAACCTGTATACACTGTGGAATGACCAAGTCAGCAATTAGTATTCAGTATTTATCATCTCATTTCAGCATTGGGATGACCATGGGGAGATCTGACAATAGTTTTTTTTGTTTCAATACTGTGGATAGAACACAGAGCTTTAGGGAAATGCTCTAACATTAACAAAAAAGGTTAACACTAGAAATTCTGCAATGATCCATGGAGAGAACATGGTGTTTTCCATAGGGAGGTGACAGTGGAGGTAGAAGGGAGTAGTCAGACTCTGGATACTTTTAGAGAGTGGGCAAACAGGGCTTTCTGATTGATTGGTTGTAGGATGTGAAGGAAAGTGTGGCAAAGGATGACTCCAAAATTTGTGGATTGAGCAACTGGTTTTGTAGTCAGCCCTCCCTATCTGTGGGTTCTGCATTCTTGGATTCAACAACTAAACAAAAATACATATTAGAAAAAATTGAATACACCCTGAACATGTTCAGACTTTTTGTCATTATTCCTTAAATGATACATTAAAATAACTTTATATAGCAATGGGTATGGTGGTACAAGCCTGTAATCCAATCATTTGAGAGGCCAAGGCAAGAGGATTGCCTTGAGTTCAAGACTAGCCTGAACTACATAGTAGTGAGACCCTGTCTCAAAAACAAACAAAAAAACCAATAGCATTTATATTGTGTTGGGTATTTTAAGTCCTAGAGATTATGTAAACTACATAGTAGGATGTGCTAGGTTCTGTGCAAACACTATGCCATTTCATGCTAAGGAACTAAAGATTTTGGTATCCAGGGTAGGGAATGTGGTGATGGTCCATGAACTAATCCCCTGATGATACCCAGGGATGATGTGGGGAGAAAAGTAACATTAATATTACAGGAGTAGCTGGTGTTTGAGAACTGAATTTTGTAAAACTTAATTAGAAAGCTTAGATTTCCAAGAGGGTACTTCTGGAACCAGGAGGCAAGTGAGGTACCAAGGATGTAAAATGTAAGGAGATGGGTAGTCCAAGATGTTCAACTTGTGCCTCTCTGAATCTTATGCCAGTGCTTCATTAACATCACAATTGCAGAAGACTTGGGGGAAGATAGAGAGATAAATTTTGAATTATGATGTCCCTTAAATAGTTCAAGTCTGACTGGGTGTGGTGTCGCACGCCTGTAATCCCAGCACTCGGGAGGCTGAGGCAGGAGGATCACTACAAGTTTGAGGCCAGCCTAGACTACATAATGAGTTCAAGGCCAGTCTGAACTACATAGTGAGACTTTGTCTCAAAATAAACCAAAAAACAAAAGACAACAACAACAAAAACAAAAAATAGTTCAAGTCTTCTGGGAGGTTCAGCTCAGTGGTAGAGCACTTGCCTAGCAACCACAAAGCTCTAGGTTCAATATCCAGCCCTGGAAAAAAAAGAAAGTTCTAGCTTATTTTAAGGTGTAAAACAAGGAAATGTAATATCTTTTGAAATAAATAATGTTTTTGCATGGTTGCACTTAGATGCCAATTTATGAAAAGAAAACTGGAAGTTGAAGGGACCACTGCTTCAATCAAAAGTAATTTTAAAATGGCAGGTCACTTCTCCTTGAGTGAAGAAGAACAAAAAACAGAACTACTGAAGAAGCATGAGAGAGAATCCAATCAGAGGGACAAGCATGATGAAGATGATGAGCTGATCTTTGTTGGGATGGAACATGTGAAAGAAGATTCCGAAATTCTCTTTGTCAAGGTGATTTCAAATTCAAAACCAGTTATTTCAAACATTTTGAACAGAGTCACCCCAGGCTCATATTCGAAAAGAAAGAAAGGCCATCTCAGTCAAGACCCTGCTCATGTGTCTCAACCTGGAATTCATGTGACCCCAATAGCCAAAGCAATGGCTGCCATGCCAAATTCTCAGTCTGAATGGAGATCAACAGATAGTCCCGTTACTACTGAATCTTCATCGAAACTTGCTTATAAAATGAGCTCACCAGAAGTCATCCCTCCTCATGATTCAAACCAACTTTTCACTGCCAATAAAATCAGTAGAAATCCCAAAAGATCTAAACTCAGGAATGAAATCCCAAGTGTACATTCTTCTACTATGACCCCTCCTGGTATCTCTCCTATAATGGACACATGTACACCATCAGAAAGGATCTGCTTGTCAAGCAGTGTTCAGAATGGAACATCTTTTCCGTGGACTCGTGCTAATGGAAAGGCACCTTTTGTTCTCAGGGTTCCAGACCCAGAAAATAGGTCTGAAGGTTTGGTAAAAACAGGCTTATCAGGTCTAACAGGTCAAAATAAGACCTTTGATCCCAAGACAGGAACTCTGATCCTGTTACTTAGTGACTTTTACTATGGAGAACTTAAAGGAGATGGGCAGCCAGAACAGAAGACTCATTCAACTTTTAAATGCCACAGCTGCTTGAAAGTTCTGAAAAATGTTAAGTTTATGAATCACATGAAGCACCATTTGGAATTTGAGAAACAGAGAGGTGATAGCTGGGAAAACCACACCACCTGCCAGCACTGCTATCGGCAGTTTCCTACTCCCTTCCAGCTGCAGTGTCACATCGACAGGGTGCACACTAACCAAGAGCCCTCTCCTATCTGTAAAATCTGTGAGTTGTCATTTGAAACAGATCAGGTTCTCTTACAACACATGAAGGACAATCATAAGCCTGGGGAAATGCCCTATGTGTGCCAGCATTGCAATTATAGATCGTCAGCCTTTGCTGATGTGGAAACACATTTTAGAATGTGCCATGAAAACACTAAGAATTTGCTTTGTCTGTTTTGTCTTAAAATTTTCAAAACTGCAAATTCATACATGAATCATTGTTGGAGACACTGGAGCAAGAAGAGAGTCTTTCCATGTTCCAAGTGCCGGCTACAGTTTTTGAGTTTGAAGGAGGAAACAGAGCACAAAAGCAAAGATCATCAAACATTTAAAAAGCCAGAGCCACTGGAAGGGTTGCCTCCCAGAATGAAGGTTATTATTCAAACTTCAGTTCACCCATCAAGAGATACAGAATCTATTATTGTGAGTGACATTGACTTTTGCCTGTCACCTGTAAAAACTAAAAAGAGGAAGAACTCTAGATATTCTGGACTCCTTTGCAACCAGGGTTCTGGCTAAATATATGTTTTACCCACTTTCATGGATTCTGAAAGGCAGATATGAGACTAGGTCATCTGTATATCATGACTGATGCTAGCATCCAGTGTCAGACATTTTACAGTGACATCTCTAGCTCCCTTCTTTAAAGAAGCATTTCAGAAATCTTCATGCCCTTTCTTCACTCAAACCCCTGTACAAAAGTAAACATGACTCTGATCTTTATCATCAGAGATTAATTTTTATTGTTTTTGAACTTTAAATAAATGTGTTAAATTGCTTTAAATGGAATCAAACAATAAATTCTTGTCTTTGACTTTACTATAAATAAGAGCCACCACCACCCACACTGAGGATCAAACCCAGGGCTTTCACATTGAGCTACATTCCCAGCCCTTTTAGTTTTAGGGTTTTTGGGGGGTTTTTTTTGGTACTGGGCTTTGAACTCGGGACCTTCCACTTGCAAGGTAGGTGGCAGAACCCCTGAGCTAAATCCTGGACCCCCCTTTTAGTTTTTGAGACAGGTCTTACTAAGTTGCCCAAACTGAGTTCAAGGTTTTGATCCTCCTGCCTCACTCTCCCAGAGTGCTAGGATTACAGATGTGAGCCACCATGCCCAGCTTGTGAGGTGCATTCTTGCTGTATGTTGCAGTAGTGCATACTTTTTCATTGTTGGATAGAATTGCACTGAAAGAATATGACACAGTTTTATGTCTCACTTTCCCATTGATGGACTTTGGGGCTGATTTTTTGCCTATTTAGAATAAAGATACTATTGATAGAGGGAAAATAACTCCCAACCTGTTAGATGTCAGATGTGCCGAGTTCATAGTCTAATACCATCAAGGAATGAAGTCGCAAACCAAAAGAGGAAATTAGGAGCATTGTATTGGAAGTAAGAATAGCTCCTGGATTTCCAGGAGGGGTCATGAGTAGGTGTCTAGTAAGGCTCTTTCTTAGGGGTAATTTATACAGCAAAATCACAACATAGGTACAACCCAGGTCAAACTACAACCTGTAGGATTAAAAGTATGGTCACTTAGCTAACATTGATCCAATAGGGAAATGAGTCACATGGGTAGGGTATATGGAAAGAACAGTCATTGTTTGGAAAGGGATGGGTCCAGATGTTCTGGTCATCTGCCTATGTGTCAGATGCCTATCTAGGCCCACTGGACCAGGTGGTGCTAGTTACTGTATAATCTCAAATTGCTGTTTATCTCTAAGGAGGCTTGTATATCTGGCTAATGCATCTCCATCTTGAGGCCTGGATCTCTTCAGATTTCCTTCCTGTCACAATCTTCGTGTGTCTCTTCTAGTGTGCTGACTTCCTTGAGGGCCCAATCCCTCTCTGACTGCATATTAATTTCTAACTTAGCTGTCTATAATATTATGAGCTTGCATATGTCTTCTGATAGACATACTTAGTCATTTGGATAGCAGTTGTAAGAAGTGCTGGAATTCCATATATTCGGCTTTTTTAGTGTAGATTCTGCCAAAAACTTTTCAGAAATGATTAAAATAATTTACATTCACACAACTGATATTGAGAATTTCATTGCTACAGATCTAACACATGGTACTATCAGTCCTTTCAATTAGTGCCTTTTTCTTAGAGTTGTAGTGGTATCATATTATGGCTTTAATTTGCATTTCTCTGATGAGTAATGATTTTGAAAATATTTTTACATGGTTATTCACCACTTCCATATCTTCTTTACTGAAGTTTTATTAAAGTCTTGTTACCTCCCATGTTTTAAAATGGACTGTCAAGGGCTGGGATTTAGCTCAGTGGTTTTGCCACCTGACTCACAAGCGCAAGGTCCCAAGTTCCATCCCCGGTATCATAAAAAAAGGGCTGTCAAGTGGAAAGGGTATCAGCAAATTACTAGAACAAAACATTACATTCTTGATCTGTATGATTGTTTCATATACATAAACATATGTACATATATACATTAAGTTTGGGCTCATGTATTATTTAAGAAATTGCTGTCTATAGAATACATAGATATTCCCCATGTGTTTTCATCTACAATATTTAATCTTTCATATGAAGTTATATAAGCCATCTCAAATTGATTATTTGCTTATGGTGTGATAAACCAAGGCAATAGTTAATTTTTCATATGCATATCTAAATTAACCAGGACCATTTACTAAAGACCACTCTGACCTCAATGTACTTTAGTGGAAACTTTGTGTATATCAGGTATGACTGCATATGTATTTCTGAAGCCTATTCTATTTCATTGGTCCAGTTCTCTTTCTTTATGCTAGTGTCACCGTGTCTTAATTACTGTAGCCTCTCCCAAGTTTATATATCTGGTAGTTTATTTTTTTAGCAATGGAGTTCCAAATTGCCTTGGCTGTTCTAGGAGCTTTGATGAGTTGAAGTGGTTATTGTGCATACACAATACTTGTCTTACTTGTCTTACTCTCCAACTTAGATACAATAGTTCACCATTAATTTTGATGTTAACAATGGGGCTTTTTGTATCTATTCACTGACTATCCAGAGATTGAGGTAAAAATTAATGACAGAAAGAAAACGTTGGCCAGGCGTGGTGGTGCATGCCTGTTATCCTAGCATTTGGGAGGGTTAGGCAGGAGGACTGCCATGAGTTTGAGGTCAGCCTGTGCTACATAGTGAGTTCAAGGCCAGGTTGAACTACATAGCAAGACCCTGTCTCAACCCCCTCAAAACAAACACAAAACAAAACCACAAAACTCCCAAAACAAAGATCAGGCCCCCAAATTTGGAAATTAGGCAATACAGCTAAACAGGCCTGAGTCTAGGGTGGAGGCTAGCGAGGAGCCTAAGGTACAAAAGTGCCATTTCTGTTATTCCAGGAACTGAGAGGAGAGAGTGCCTCCTTAATGTTGTACCCTCACTTACTTCACCCTGGTCCTGGTTCTTTTTTTTTTTTTTTTTTGGTACTGGGGATCGAACTCGGGTCCTTGCGCTTGCACAGCAGGCAGCGAAACCACTGAGCTAAATCCCAGGCCCATGGTTCTTATTCTAAATAGTCCAGAGATCCTCTAAAAATCTAAAACTCTCAGTGGAAAAAGGAAAATGTTGAACTCAATGATTGTGATAGTTAACTGATTATGTCAAGTTGAATAAGAAACATCCAACTAAATTGGATCAGCATAGTTCTGGGTGTGGCTGAGGGGATTTACTGAAGATAGAAGACCTGTGCTGGGTGGGCTTGTTGCTTGAAAGGTATAGAAGAGAAATTAAAAAGGAAGGTTCGCTTCTGTTTCTTCCAAGGAGCTCCAACCTTCACCTTCACCTTGGACTTAGTCTCCTGGCTTCCAGAGCAGACTGTTCAGCCTCCAGCACAGACCCTTCAGCCTCCTGATATGGACTCAAACAGGACACTGCACTGAGCTCCAGGCCTTCACTGGATACCTCGGTTCTCCAGCACACAGACAGACCTTTTGTACTCTTCCACCCCGACTCTGTGTGCAGCCTCTGTAAGCTTGTAATTTCTTGTATGTTTGTATATCTTGTGTTAAATGTATTTCTCTAATAAGCACTGACTGATGAGTGATATTGAAAATAATCACAAAAATTTATGAGATGGGGGTCAAGCAATTCGTGGAACTTTATAACTCTCAATGCATGTACAGTTGGCCTCTGTTTCTGTGGGTTCCAGATCCATGGATTCAATCAACAATGGATTGAAAATATTTGTAAAAAATGTGTCAGTATTGAACATGTACAAACATTTTCTTTTCTGCCATTATTATTTTTTTCCAGTACCCGAAATTGATTCTATCTTTTTTTTTGGTGCTGGGGATCAAACTCGGGACCTTGCACTTGCAAGGCAGGTGGGGGAACCACTGAGCTAAATCCCTGGGCCTTAGTACCCGAAACTGAACTCAGGACCTTGTGCTTGCCAGACAGGTGAGGCACCACTGAGCTACATCCCTGGCCCTTTTTTGCCCTTATTTCCTAAATGATATAGCATAACAACTATTTATACAGCATTTTTTTTTTTAGTACAGGGGATCAAACTCAGGTCCTTGAGCTTCCGAGGCAGGCAGTGTAACCACTGAGCTAAATCCCTGGCCCAAGAAAGAAATTTTTGTTTGTTTGTTTTGGTATCAGGGATTGAACTCAGGGGTCCTTGCACTTGTGGGGCAGGCAGCAGAACTACTCAGCTAAATCCCAGACCCTATAAAGCCTTTCTATTGTATTAGGTAAAACTAGTAGTCTAAAGATAATGTAAACTACAGGAGGATGTCATAGGTTATATGCACATATTGAATCATTTTACATGAGGGACTTGAGCATCTCCAGATTTTGGTATCTGCATGGGATTCTGGAACCAATCCCCTATGGACACTGAAGGATGATGACTATATTTAAAAAGAAAGATTAAAAAGTTAAGTCAGAAGAAAAAATTTTAAAAAAGAGGGCCAGGGATTTAGCTCCGTGGTTCCACTGCCTGCCTCAAAAGCAAAAGGTCCAGAGTTCAATCCCCAGGACCAAAAAAATTTTTTTAAAGAGTGAAATCAGCACTGTGTACAGACTGCAATGATGGCAATGTTCTGCATCTGCTCAGGCCCATTTGGTACTTGTGGCCTCTGAGCTACTGAAATGTGGCTACTAAAACTGAGGTACTGAATTTTAAATTTTGTTATTTGTCATTAGTTTAAAAGAAACAAATCTTTACAAAGAATTTCAAGTTATTTGTATACTCTTCCCTCAGTGAGACCTCATGACCCCTCCAGAGTAGAGCAGGGAGGTAGTGACTTGCTTCCAAAGAATAGACTACCAGAAGGGAGACAAGTAAATTTATCATGAAGAAAGCAGTAGTAAGTCATATCGATAGCAGTTATCCTTGATGTTTGATGTTAAGAACATGTCACATCTGTGATGCTTTTCTAAGTATCCCAGTATAATCATTAGGACGTTCTGCAAAATACTTGACCCTTATTTCTTATAACTGTCAAGGTCACAAAAAGCAAGGAAAGTTTAAGAAACTGTTACATACTTGAGAAGGCTGAGGAAACAATGATCAAGAGCAGTTCAGTATATCCTTGATGGGAATCTGAATTAGAAGAAGAATGTTAGCGGAAAAACTAGTGAAATTTGAAAACAGCCTGAGGCTAAGTTATAGTATTTATTAGTGGATATTGGAATTATTATTTTTTGATATTGGAATTATTGTGCAGCCAAAAGGAGATCATTTCCCACACATAATAAACATTGTAAATCTCTACATCTATGATCCCTTCATTTTTAACTATGGCATACTTTACTGAACAGAAACCTTCATCTCAATGGGTAATATTTAGAATGTGTAATCTAACCATACAATCAAATTAGTAATTGACAAAAGACCAGTCTTTACCGCCTGCCTCAAAAACGCAAGGTCCTGAGTTTGGTCCCTAGTACAAAAAAAAAAAGGACTAATCTTTAAAAATCTCAGATTTTAAAAATAAATAACAACGGAGTATGTTGGCACATGCCTGTAATCCCAGCACTCAGGAGGCTGAGGCAGGAGGATCAAGTTTGAGACCAGCCTGGGCTACATAATGAATTCAAGGCCAGCCTCAACTACACAGCAAGACCTTGTCTCAAAAACAAAACAAAACAAAATCCCCAAACAAACAAAAACCAAAAATAAGTAATAAACCCTTGTGTTTAAAAAGAGAATTATTAGGGCAATTAGGATGTACTTGGAATTGAAAGAGAATGAACACATTACCAAGCAAAAGTTGTGGGACACAGTTAAATTGACAGTTACAGAAAATTTACAGCATTAAATACAAGAAAAATAAGTTTTCAAACAAATGAGTTAGGCATTATCTAAAAAACGTTTTAGAGAGGAGCAACTGAGCAAACCTTAGAGACACAGGATAGTAGAAGATAGTAAAAAAAAGTAAGAAAAAACCAGAAGAGAAAATAGCACTACATATTAACCTGATAAAAACCTTTTTTTAAAAAAAAAAGATTGTTAAAATTCTAACAGAATTAGTCATTTAAGAAAACATTAAAAGGGCTGAGGATTTAGCTCAGTGGTTCTTCCATCTGCCTTGCAAGCGCAAGGTCGCAAGTTAGATCTCCGGTATTAAAAAGAAAAGAAAACATCAAAAATTGCAAATAAAGCCAGGGAGCAAATTTTCTGTAAAGGGCAAAGTAGTAAATATTGTACATGGTCTCTGGCAATTAATAAATTTTTCAGTCGTGGTAAAAAACAAGATATAATCCCTAAAGGAATGGGCATGTTGTATTCCAATAAAACTTCATGAACATATAACCATGAATTTCATATATTTCATATGCCACAAAATGATATTCTCCTTTTGATTTTTTTCCAAACAATTGAAAAAAAAACCAAAAACTATTCCAGCACTCTGGGAGGCTGATGCAGAAGAATCACGAGTTGGAGCTCAGCTTTGCAACTCAGTGACTTAGTGAGGCCTTGTCTCAAAATTTTAAAAAGACAAAAAAAAGGGAGGGGGATGTAGCTTGTTGCTCCCTGGGTTCAACCCTCAGCACTCTAGGGGTGGGGTGGGGGTGGGGAAAAAGAAAGAAAAGTAAAAGTAAAATCTTGTTTTGTTTTCTGGTACTGGGGATTGGAGATTGAACGCAGGGCCTTCACACAGTTGGCCGGGCTGGGCTTTAATTTGAGATCCTCCTGTCTCAGCCTCCCACAGTGCATGCACCATCGCACATGATCTCTCTAGTTTTGTTGTTTTTATTTATTTTTTAAAAAAATTTTTTGAGATAGAATCTCCCTATGTAAGAAGCTGGCCTTGAACTCACTAGTCATTACGTAACCTAGACTGGCCTCTCGGGAACTCCTGGTGTTCCTCCTGCCTCAGCCTCCAGAGTGCTAGGGTTACAAGCCTGCACCACTAGGCCTGGCTAAGGCTCTAGACCTATGATGGCTCAAACTCCTTCTAGGGTCCTAGGGGTATCTCCGCTGCGCTTGCCTCTCAGCCTGACACCTGCCCCAGCAATTGCCACAAGGGGCGACAATGCGCGCGCATGCGCCAACCCGCGGACCAAGCACCCGCACCTGGCAGCCAATCAGACCGTCCTGGACGCGCGTGCGGAGGCCCGGGGGTTGCCTGCTGCGCTTGGGACCTGAGGAGGCGGCGTGGCCGCGGGCTCTGCCCCGGGAGCGCCTCCCGGCCAGTGCGTCGCCGGCAGTTCGCCAAAGCCGCGGGTCGGACAGGTAAGAGCGGGGGCGTGGCGTGACCCTGATTCTCTCAGCGGAGGCGGGAGTCCGCGGCCGCAGCACCCAGCGCTCGGACAGCCCCTCTGCCGGCCCTGGCGGCCTCGGGCGCTGCTGTCCTAGCAAGGGCGCGAGCCCCGCGCCCCTCTCATCCGCGTCCCTGATCTCAGCGCCACTTTACGTTCCTCCCCTACCGGACTCCCGTCCCCCAGCACCCGGAGCCGTGGGCCTGGGAAAGGGCCCAGCCCTGGTCCCCCAAACCCCCCGCCCCCGCATGGTCTCTGGTGGCGCTCAGTAGTTAAAAACAAAACAAAACAAAAAAACCCTTAGAGCAGTTTTGTAACTGCAACACCCCTACTCCATTCTGGATAGCTTGCAGGCTCCTAACCCTTAAGGCGTTTAAAGCACTTCAGGATTTACGTATTGGTTTCTCATATCGCAGCACCTTATTTTCCTTATTTGTGAGCTTTCTTGGACCCTAGTGACGTGTCGTGTCCCCCCCCCTCCCCGCCCCGGGCCATTTTTGATTTGGGTAATGCGCAGCTGGGGCCTTTACTGAGGTAGGGTAAGTTGGAGGGATGGTTTTGGAAGAAAGGGACTCAGTTCTCTCTTTTGGTTAAGTGTGAGGTAGTTAATAAACATCCAAATGGCAGTGTTAGGGTGCAGGATAGAGTTTTATTCTTTTAACATGTAAATAACCCGAATCCTTTTCTCTCTGCTTACCTCAAGGATGTGACCTCCTGGTGGGAATATCTCAAGATCAAATTTTCAGTATAAGGCCAAGGTAAGAAGAGGGGTCTCTATAATAGGGATCAAGTGGATCTTTTCCCCTTCAGCTTTTTTTTTTTGTCTTGTGCTAAAACATTACTGTTTAGCATTCCCTGAGGGAATTTCAATGTGTATGATAAATTCAGGCCATTTGTTTAAATAATGCCTCCCCCTTCAGTTTTGAAGATTAAACCTAAGGTTTTCTCATTGAGCTATATCACCAACCCTTTTGTTGTTTTTTTCTTTTGAGACAGGCGTTTACCAGGTCCCTAAATTGTCTTTAGGATCCTCCTGCATCAGCCTCCCAGAGTACCGGGGTTACAGTTGTGTGCCACCATGTCCCGCCATTTAAATAATTCTTGAGCTGTTTAAATTGCTTTCTGCTACAAAGGAAAATGAGGTGGTGGTGGGATTCTTTCACCTAATATCTTGGGGGACAAAAAGCATCATGGATGTTAATTGAAGCTGACTTCAGACTAAAGTGACTTGATACACATAAGCTAAGATTTCAGCTAATGCATTAAGGTGGTTCATTTAGGGAAAAGTGTTTTTTAAACTAAGTTTAGTTTGTTCAAACCCCCCACCCCACCCCTTGTAGTACTGGAGATTGAACCTAGGGCTTTTGCACTCAGCTGCATTCCCAGATCTTTTTAAAATTTGAGACAGGTCTTGCTGAGTCTATTAAATTGTCGAGGTTGTGCTCAAACTTGTGATCCTTCTATCTCAACCTCTCAGAGTTCTGAGTTTATAGGTATGTGTCATCAGGCCTGGCTTCTTGTACCTTTTTTCTAAAAGACTATTTCATGGGGTAATTGAATTTGACTAGACAGAGGAGAATTTTACTAGACATCTGAATTCATTCCATGTCAGTAGGTGAGACTGTAGGTAAATTCTATACCAGCAGTTTTGAATACAGCTCAGTAAGACCCATTGTATTATCTATTGCAGCAAACTGTCAGTATTTAGTGGCTTAAAATAAAAATCTTGATTACCTTATATTTTGCGAAGATGTGGAATCCAAAAATGGTTTAGCTGACTGGTTCCAGCTTAGGATCTCCCATGAGGTTACTTACAGTCAAGGTTTTGGCTGGATTGGTAGTTTCTGAAGGCATGGTGGGTTGGATGACTTGCTTTTAGTTGGTAACAGGCCCCAGTTGCCCACTTTGTGGGCCTTGCCATGGGGTGGCCCATGTCATAGCAATTGGCTTTCCTCTGAGTGATTTGAGAGAGCTTGCACCCAAGATGAAGCACTCTTCTTGGTTTTGGGAATCAAACCCAGGGGTGCTTTGCCACTGAGCTATAATTCCTAGCCTGCCCCTTCTCCTTTATTTTTAAATTTTGAGATAGGGTCTTGCTAAGTTACCCAGGGGGGACTTGAACTTGTGATCCTCCTGCCTCAGCTTCCCTCATTACTGGGATTACAGGCATGTACCACACCGCACGTGGCCAAGACCCCTTTTCAAATAAAGTAATATTATATAGGTTTTGGGAATTAGGACCTGATGTTTTAGGGGCCATTTTTCAACTTCCTGTACTCATTAATTTACTCCACTCAAGGTAATCACTAGTATATTTCTATCTCTGGATTTGCTTATTCTGGCCATTTTATTGAAATGGAGTCATATACAATAGAAGGTCTTTTGTGTCTGGCTTTATACACTTATATTTTCAGGGTACATTCATGTAGTACATATATTTACAGTTCATTTGTTTTTAGGATTGAATAATATTCATTGTGTGTATATACCAGTTATTCCATTCATCAGTTATTGTACATTGGATTGTTTGCACTTTGTGGATGTTACATGTAATGTTGCTGTGTGTGTTCATGTGCAAGTTTTCATGTTAATGTTTTCAGTTCTCTGGGGTATACCAAGGAAAGAAATTGGTAGTTTATATAGTAACTATTTAATTTTTGAGCAACTGCTGAATTGTTCTTCAGAGTAGCTCACCATTTTATATTGCAGTACCAGCAATATATGAGGGTTCCAGTTTCTTCATATCTTCTGCAACACTTGTTATTATTCTTCTTCTCAATTGTAGCCAACCTGCTGATGTGAAGTAATATCCCATTGTGATTTTGATTTTCATTTTCATTCTGTTTGTTTGTTTGTTTGTTTTTGGTTTTGGTACTGAGGATCAAACATGGGACCTTGCGCTTGCTAGGCAGGCGGTGGAACCACTGAGCTAAATCCCCGGCCCTGCATTTTCATAATGATTAATCATGTTAAGAAATATTTCGTGTGCTGATTGGTCATTCGTAGATATTTAGAGAAATGTCTACTGTCCATTTTTTAAAAACATAGTGAAAAAAACTTACTACACAAAATTAGTTTTAGCCTCCTCCCCTTCTTTTTTCAGTAATGAGGATTGAACCTGGGCCTTTCCATACTGAGCTTCATCCCCAGCCTCAGCCTCCCACTTCTATAAAAATTTTAAAATTTTGAGCCAGAGTCTTGCTATTACTAAGTTGTCTAGGCTGGGCTTGAATTTGCAATCCTTTTGCGTCAGCCTCCCAGAATGTTGCGATTACAGGCGTGTGCCACCACACTGGCTTTTTTAGCTCTTTTTTTTTTTCATTTTTGTAGTGGCAAAATTTATTTAAGAAAGCAAAAGTGAAGAGTGGGGGAGAATCTGGCTCTGCAGAGTGAGCTTGGCCGAGTAAAGAGAAAAAGAGGGTGAAAGCAAACATTGAAGTGTACACTCCATCTGAGAAATGTGGTGTGGGCTATCGTGAAAGTCATGCATGATAGCCTTAGCCATTTTCTTTTTTCTTTTTTTTTTTGGTACCAAGGATCGAACTTGGGACCTTGCGCTTGTGCAGCAGGTGGTGGAACCACTGAGCTAAATCCTCTGCATGCCTTAGCCATTTTCAAGTGTATAGTTCAGTAATTTTAATTATTTACACAAATATGAAACAGATCTCTAGAACTTTTTCATCTTGCAGGACTGAAACTGTGTCCCTAAAACAGCAAAATTCCCTTTCACCCTTTTCCCTAACCTTTGGTAACCTCTGTTCTTTCTGTTCCTGTGAATTTGGCTATTTACCGCATGTAAGTATAGTCATATAGTATTTGTCTTTTTATGACTGGCTTATTTCATTTAGCATAATACCCCATGTTGTAGCACATGACAGGATGTCCTTCTTTTGTTAGGTTGAATAATATTCCATTGTGTGTATTTACCATGTTTTTTCAGTCATCTGTTGATGGGTATTTGGGTTACTTCCACCTCTTGGCTATTGTGAAGAGTCCTGCTGTGAACATGAGTTTGTTACTATCTCTTCTAGACCTTCTTTTCAGTTGTTTAGAATTTATACTTAGAAGTGAGATTGCTATATCATATGATAGTTTTATTTGGGGGGGGGATCTTTCATACTGTCTTTCATAGTAGTTACACCATTTTACAGTCCAAAAACAGTGCCTGGGGATTTTAATTTCTCCAGTTCTTTGTCAAAAGTTACATTTTTTTACTTTATATTTTTCATTAGTACATGTTTGTCATACATATTTATCACATTCATCGTAGGGAATTTGTACCTGTACATGATGTATCTTGATTCTTTTTTTCCTATTCCTCTCCACTCCACTTCAACCCTTCTTCCCCTCCCCATTTACAAAAGCTTTGTTTCTATTTTTTTCCTTCTATACCAGTTATTTGTGCGCGCGCGTGTGTGTGTGTGTGTAATGTGCTACTAGAAATTGAACGTGGGGCCTTTGCACTGAGTTACATCCATAGCCTTATTTATTTATTTATTTATTTATTTCCTTTTTCTTTTTCTTTTTTTGAGTCAGGGTCTTCCAATGTAGTTCAGCCTGGCCTTGAGCTCACTGTGTAGCCCAGGCTGGCCTCAAGCCTGTGGCAATACTCCTACCTCAGTGTCTTGAGTACTGGGATTATAGGCATGCACCACTGTGCCTGACTTATTTTTAATTTTGAGACAGGGTCTTGCTGTGTCACTAAGTTACCATGCTGGGTTTGAAATTGTGGTCCTCCTGCCTCAGCCTACTAGAGTGCTGGGATTATAAGTATATACCACCATTCCTGGCTATAATGATTTACTTTCATAAAAATGAACTAATCTTGCATTTCTTACATAAATCCCACTTGGTCACACTGAAGAATGCTTACAATATATTTCTGGATTCTGTTAGCATTTTTGGGGGGTAGATTTTTGCCTATGTATGTATGTATTTATTTATTTTGAGACAGGGTCTCACTATGTAGTTCAGGCTTAGCTTGAACTCACTGTATAGCCCAGACTGGCTTAGAATTCCCTGCTATCCTCCTGCCTCAGTCTGCTGAGTGCAGGGATTACAGGTGTGTGCCACCACACTCTGCCCTGCCTGCCTCTGTATTTGTAGGGTCTATAGCATATTTTTGAGATTTGTCTGCTTTTTGTATCAAAGTGTAGCACTACCTCATAGAGTAAGTTGGAAAGTTTTCTGTAATGATTTTTGGAGAAGTTTACGGAGGGTTGATTTTCATTCTTTTTTAAGCATTTGATAGGGACATACGCCCAGTGGTGGAATGCTTGCCTGGCATGCAGAGGGCCCTGAATTCCATACTTAGCACCTGAAACAAAAGTAAGCAAAACAACAAGAAACATTTAATAGAATCCACTAGGGCCATTTGATCTTGGACTTTTATTTGGGAAAGTTTTTTGTTTGTTTGTTTTACAGTACCAGGGATCGAACTCAGGACCTTGCACTTGCCAGGCTGGCACGGTATCACTGAACTACATCCCTGGCCCTGAGAAAGTTTTTAATTAGTAATTTGATCTCTTTGTTTTAGGCATGTTCATATTTTCTGTTTTCTTTTTTGAGTCCTGTAATTTGTTTCTTCTAGAATTTGTCTGTTTCATCTAGGTTATCTAATTTGTTGACATAGAATTGTTTATAGTATTCTTTCACAATTTTAATTTTTCCATGATAGTGTGGTATAGTATCTCATTTTTATTTTTAAAAAAATAATTTATTGAGGTCAGTGTCACAAAACCATTCATTTTAAAGTGAA